GTTTAATGTTATTAAATGACAAAGGAACTAACAAAATGACTGTACAAGGGAATGTCACACATTCTTTAAAAAGCTTTGTTAAGTTTTGTGAGTCAATTTAGTACTGGCAATAAAATACAGACATCAAAACCAGCAATGAAAAAAAGGAAATTCATATGGAAAATAATTTTAAAAAACAATGATAAAAAAATAAGAAAAATCACAAACAACAAACTTACCCCTACAGCAGCTAGAAAAAGAACAAACAAAACCAAAGCTAGTAGAAGAAAGAAATAATAAAAATTAGAGCAGAAAGAAATTAAATATAGACTGAAGAAACAATAAAAAAGATTAGTGAAACCAAGGGCTGGTTCTTTGAAAAGATAAACAAAATTTAGAACTCTTTAGATAGAGCCATCAATTTTAAAAAAGAGGACTCAAGATCAGAAATGAAGCAGAAAAACTACTGACACCACAAAAATACAAAGGATTAGAAGAAAATATTAAGAAAAAGTATGTGCCAAATAGTAGACACAGAAAAATGTGTCTAATAGATATATGGATTAGAAAAAATGGATAAATGGATAGATTTAGAAAAAAATGGATAAATTTTTAGAAACATACAATCCTACAAAATTGAACCAGGAAGAAATAAAAAATTTGAATAGATCAATTACTAGTAAGAAAATTGTATCTGTAGTAATAAAAACTCCCAACAAAAGTCAGAATCAGGCCAGCATTACCCTGATACCCAAACCAGATAAAGACACTACAAAAAAAAAAAAAGAAGAAAGAAAAGAAAACCACAGGTCAATATTTCTAGTGGTATTTCTAGTGAATATACATGCAAAAATACTTAACAAAACATTAGCAAACTGATACCAACTATACACTGAAAGGATCATTCAACACAAGTGGGATTTATTCAAAGAATGTAATAGTGGTTCAACATTTGCAAATCAATCATTATGCATCATCTCAACAAGGGAAAGGATAAAAACCACATGATCATCTCTGTAGATTGTAGAAAAAGCATCTGACGAAATATATCTATTCACGATAAAAACTGTCAATAAAGTGGGTTTATAGGAAACACGCCTCAGAAAAGCCCACAGCTACCATCACACTCAATGGTGAAAAACTGAAAGATTTTCTGTAAGATCAAGAGAAAGACAAGGATGTGCACTCTCACCACTTCTATTTAACATAGTCCTGGGAGCCCTACTTGCAGCACTCTCACTCTTCACAGATGCCATGATACTTTATGTGGAAAACCCAAGAGACTCTACCCAAAAATTGCTAGAACTCATACAGGAATTCAGCAATGTGGCAGGATACAAAATCAATGCCCAGAAATCTGTTGCATTTCTATACACTAACAATGAGACTGAAGAAAGAGAGATCAGGAATCGATCCCATTTACAATTGCACCAAAATCCATACGATACCTAGGAATAAATCTAATCAAAGAGGTATAAGATCCGTCCCCTGAAAACTGCAGAACACTTGTGAAAGAAATTGAGGAAGACACAAAGAAATGGAAAAACATTCCATGCTCATGGATTGGAAAAACAAATATTGTTAAAATGTCTATGCTTCCTAGAGAAGTCTACACATTCAGTGCGATCCCTATCAAAATACCACCGACATTTTTCATGGAGCTGGAACAAACAGTCCTAAAATTTGTGTGGAACCAGAAAAGACCCAGAATAACCAAGGTAAGGTGGGAAAAGAAAACCGAAGCTGGAGGCATTGTAATTCCATATTTCAAGCTGTACTAAAAGCTGTGGTCATCAAGACATTGTGGTCCTGGCACAAAAACAAACACAAAGATCAATGGAACAGAATAGAGAACCCAGAAATGGGCCCTCAACTCTGTGGTCAGCTAATATTCAACAAAGCAGGAAAGACTGTTCACTGGAAAAAGGAGAGTCTCTTTAATAAACGGTGTTGGGAAAATTGGACGGTCACGTGCAGGATGAAAGAATGGACCATCCTCTGACACCACACACAAAGATAAACTCAAAATGGATGAACGATCTTACTGTGAGACAGGAACCCATCAAAATCCTAGAGGAGAACACAGGCAGAAACCTCTGTGACTTTGGCCACAGCAAATCAGACAAGAATAAAATCATCCAAATTGGTAAGGAAAAGGCGAAACTTTCATTATTTCCAGATGACATAATACTATATATAGAAAACCCTAAAGACTCTCCACCAAAAAATGATTAGAATAAATGAGTTCAGTAAACCTCCAGAATACAAAACTAATATATGGAAATCGGTTGCATTTCTCTACACTTAAAGTGAAGTAGCAGAAAGAGAAATCAAGAAAACAATTTCACTGACACTTGTACCAAAAAGAATAAAAAACCTAGGAATATATTTAACCAAGGAGGTGAAAGACCTAGACGTGGACACTGACAAGACACTGCTGAAAGGCAGTGAAGACAACCCAAACAGATGGAAAGACGTCCCATGCTTATGAACTGGAAGAGCATCGTTAAAATGTTCTTTTTGCCCAAAGCAACCCACAGATTTAATGTAATCTCTATAAAAATACCAATAGCGTTACTCACGGGGCTAGGATAAATCATCCCGAGCTTGTGTGGAACTGCAAGAGACCTCAAAGAACCAAAGCAGTCTTGACAAAGAAAAACAAAACTGGAAATACCACCATTCCAGTGAAGCCACACCGCAAAGCCACAGTCATCGAAGTGGGATGGTCCCGGCCCAGGAAGAGACATACGGACCAATGGAACAGAATCCAGAGCCCCGGAATAATCCCACACCTACCCACACGGTCAACTGATCCATGACAGAGGAGTCAAGAACGTACAATGCGGAAGAGGCAGTTTCTTCCACAAAGGGTGCTGGGAAAACTGGACAGATGCACACAAGGGAGCAACCGGACCACTTTCTCACACCACACACAGAGACTTAACATAGATCCAAGACCCGAAACCGTAAAACTCCTAAAAAAAAACCCCCCACAGGCAGCATATTTTGGACACTGCTTTTAGCAGCATAGTTGTGGCTACGTCTCCTGGGGCGAGGGAATCAAAAGCAAAAACCAACTCCTGGGACTGCACCATCAGAAAAAAGTCTAAGACGGCAAAGAAAACCTCAACAAGACAAAAAACCTACTGACTAAAGATTCAAGAATGATCTCTCAGATAAGGGGTTGAGTATGTCCAAAGTATATAAAGGACTCATTCAACTCAACAACGCTCCTGCCCAACAAAAACCAACAATCCCATTAAAATCGGGCAGAGGCCCTGAAGCGGCATTTCTTCAAAGGCAACAGACGTCAACAGACACATGAAAAGCCGCTCCCCTCACTCATCATCAGGGAGATGCAAATGCAAACCCCAAGGAGAGGGCACCTCGCACCTCGCACCTCGCAGCTCGGAGAGGCCGGAGACCGCGTGCTGGCGAGGAAGAGGAGGAGAGCAATCGCGCCCTGCCCTGGGAAGGCCGCCGTGCAGCCGCGTGGGAACCGGCAGGGAGGCCCCGCAGAAACCCTCGGAATAGAAACACGCGCAACCCCCTGGTTCCGCCAACTGCTCTTTAGGCAGAGAACATGGAGACGCCCCGCGGAAAAGGCAAACACAGCCCGGGGCCCTGCGTGAAGGACTCTGCAAGTAACCAGACGTGAAAGCGACGCAGCTGGGAGGGCGAGGCAGGCGGCAGGCGGGAGTGGAAGAGACTCGGCTGTGAGCCCCGGGGGTCCCGCCGCTGGCCGCCTCCGGACGGACCGAGGTGCGCCGAGTAAGGAAGTCGTGAGGCGGAGAACAGACAGGATCTCACTCACATGGGGAGCATAAGAACCCAACCGGCCGGATTCGCGGATCCAGAGAACCGACGGTGCCCAGCGCGGGACCGGGGAAATGGGTGAATCAGGCAAAGGGAGTCAAGAGGTGCGAACCCGCGGTCGGAAAGCAATCGATCGATCGATCATCGTGGCGATGGAAAGCGCAGCCCGTGGGATACAGCCTGCCACACGGGAGTGGCGCGGCGCAGGGACCGGCGGCCACGCGTGTGCAGGGAGCGCTGGCCAGCGTGCCCACGTGGACACCCGCGGCGGCGGCGAGCCTGGAACTGACCGAACGCTGACTGTCAACTACACTTAAAGAATGAAAATTCGTTGTGAGAAGTGTGCACTGGGCGATGGGCAAATCTGTGCCCTCTGAACACACTCAGTACCGGCGCATCGGCGGGTGAGCCCGCTGCTGCCACCCGGGCCAGTCCCCCCGGCCTGCCTAGGTCGTTGCAGGGCGTCGCTCATCTCCCCGCCTCCGCTGCTGTCTCCCCAGGGCTGTTCGCAGCGCAGCAGCCAGACGATGGGCCTAAGTCAGATGCCGACGCTCCCGTGCGAAAACCCTCTAAAGAGTAAAAGGGAGGGCTCTTCCCGGCCGGGGAGGCCTTACGGGACCTGGGCTCCCTGTGATCGCACCTTCTGGCACCCTCGCGGACCCTGGGGCAGTCGCGGAAGCGCCTCTGCCATGCCCCGGCCCGCAGGCCACTTGCTGCCCTCAGGTCCCCGGGCCCTCGCACTCTCCGCTCACGCTCACGGAGGCCCGGCTCTCTCGCTTCCCGGGGCCTCTGCTCCACGGCCACCCCCCTCAAAGCCGAGGGGCCTTACTCGAGACAAGGGGAGTCGTGATCCCACCGATCCCTTGCATCCCCTTCTCCCCAGTGGTTTCCAGAGCGCTTCCTACCACCACCATCCGCTCCATATTAACTGTTTATCCGCCCACAGTCTTGATCTTCTCTCAGCAGAATTAACTCCGGGGGCGGTGGGGGGGGGGGGTGGAACGACGCCCTGTTTTCTGTTCGCTGCTACATCCACCGCCTCTAGAACTAGACCTGGGCCATTGCAGGCCTGGGGAGATTCTCTGAGTCAAAAGCAAGTAAAACTGTTGCCGGAAAACCAGAAATGCACATTAATTCAGTCTCAGGACACTGCACTGGTTGTAGCTCTTGGGACGGGGACTGGTTCTCAGGGTTTTGCTCACCCATTGGTTCACACTGCTGAGCTGCGCCATGTAGTAGTGTAACGTCTGTGTCGTCCTCTCCCACATCACGTAAGAGCTGCCGAGAAAAGCCAAATCCCACATAGGTCTCAGGGAGGGATCGATCCATCCGTGACTGTCTGGGGGGGGGGGTGGAGAAGAACCAACACATTCTCACGTTATCATTATGGCATCTCGGGGACAGTGTCGTGGGTCTCAGTAAGGACACAGGAGCACAGGCCAGCCACTCAGTTGTCTCTGGCGCCAGATGTGTCATCTGCTCTGATCTGTGTCCACTTCACATGGAGATTTATGTGTTCCAACCTGTCCTGCTGAGCAAGGCTACCCTAACAAAATTAAGGGCTATTTGTCGTGTCGTATTAATGCAAAGTCAGAGCTGCAACGATACTCAAAGTTGATCTAAAATCTTGTTAGTTGAGAAGCATTTTAAAATTAGATTGAAAGGGGACGCCTGGGTGTCTCAGTGGTGGAGCGTCTGCCTCCAGCCCAGGGCGTGACCCCGGGGTCCCAGGATCAAGTCCCATATGGGGGTCCCCGCAGGGATCCTGTTTCTCTGCCTCTCTCTGTGTCTCTCATGGAAAAATAAATAAAATCTTTTAAAAAATAGAAAGATGCCCTCTATTAAAAAAGCTTTTGGACCTTCGTGCCACAGTAAGTTCTGTAAACTTTGTGTTTTAAGGAGAAGGTATCAAAGTTCATTTCTCCAGCTAATGTTAACGCGGAAAAAATCCTGAAGTGATCGTACATTTTAAGCCTCAGTCATCAGCCCACTTGTTTCGGACAGTCCTAAGCATGAGCAAATTCTCCTGCAACTAAAGCTCTGAACCGTCCCTCGTAATCCCTAGGAACAGGACTGAGCTGAGCTGTCAGAGCACCGTTAGGAGAATCGTCCAGGCTTCTGAACCTAGGAAGGCAAGGGGCCGCGCTCTGCCTGCAGGTCCCTGGAACTCTAGTCTGGGCAAGCGGAGAGACCACAGGGCCCTCAGAGTCGAGGCCTAGCGAGGCGGGCGGAGGGGGAGGTGGGCGGGGAGGCGGGGTAGGGCGCAGATGCAGGCTCAACACCCGGGCCCACGTCCCCGTCCCCGTCCCCGTCCCCGCCTCCGCCTCCGCCCCCGCCTCCGGAGAGGACTCTTGCGGTTTTGCAAATTGGATCTGCCAGTAAGGGCTGCGCCTGGCCTGGCCTGGCCTGGCGGCGGGAGCGGGGGTGGAGGTGGGGGGCGGGGAGCTGGGCCTCACTCCTCCAGGACGGCGCCACCGCCCATTAGCTCCCATTAGCTCCCGACCTAGTGGGTCAGCTGCGCTGGGCTGCAGCTCCCCGAAGGCCCCAGCTCGGGGTCCCGACCTAGAGACAGACGGCGCCTCAGGCCCCTGCGCTCCTCCTCCTCCGGGCAACGTCTCCACCTCCTCCACCTCCTCCACCTCCTCCACCTCCTCCACCTCCTCCGGCGGCCTGGGCGCTTCCCGGCCGTGGCCCGTGGCCCGTGGCCCGCGTCTGGGTGGAAGCCGGAGGTCAAACCCGCACAGCCCCCGCCCCGGGGGGGTCACCGCACCGCCTGCACCGAGGAGCAGGAGAATGTCACTACGACCCTTCGGGGGCGTCCTGCAGGGGCAGGCGAGGGGGTGGGACGTGACGATGGCCCCTCAACAGGGGCGCCCGACCGTGACCGTGACCGTGACCGTGAGCGTGAGCGTGAGCGTGAGCGTGAGCGTACCGGGCATGCTGGTCGCCCCCGGCGGGGCTCGGAGCCGCTTGGCGCGCTTGTACAGCAGGAGATCCTCCCGCCGCCTCCGGCTCGTCTCCATGAACCGAGCGCAAGTCACGTTAACGGCCGGCCTGGGCTGCTGACGCCTGAAAACCACTCGAGCCGAGCATCTCCCCAGACGTCCGTCGGCCTGCCAGGAAGACGGTGGCGCTAACCAGGGCGGCCCGAGGCCAGCATGCCGCGGCCCGCGGGGGGCAGGACGGACGCGTGGGCGCAGCACGCGCAGGGGCCTGGCTGTGCAAGGGGACGTCTGCGCGCCAGAGCCGGGACGACAACAGTCCTTCACCCCCGGCAGCCGCGCACAGTCCTGCCGGCCGACGCCGCCACTTGGGCGCGGGCCCGCTCGTGCACAGCGGACCACGCGGTCCCGGCCTCGAGGCGGGAGGCGCTCACTGCACGCCGGGCGCCAACGTGACGTGTGACGCGAGCCTGACGTCAGGCTGACGTCAGGCCTGGACTCGGGACGAGGGGGACGAGGCCGCTCCCCGTGAACACGAGCCACGGCTTCTCACCCCGCCCGGGCCGGGCCCTGAGCTCACGTCCACGTCGGCCCGACGCCGCGGCCCTGGCTCCGCGAACCTTCGAGATCACCGAGATCACCGCAGGGTCTGGATCCGAGGGGAGGGCGGGGACGTCGCGGAACGGGGCCGGCTCCAGGGCGTCTGTGCGTCTGTGCGCCTGTGCGCCTTGGGGTGTAGACGCGGGCGTGCGGGGCTGCGGGGGGGGGGGGTGCAGCTCCGGGCTCCCGCGCCCGCGCCCCGCGCCCTCCGCCCCCGCACCCCGGGCGCCGGCCCTCGGGGACCCCCCCCCCCGCCGCTCACCTCGGGGCCGTAGCGCTCGGCCGTGAACTCCAGGTCCACCCGGCAGGTCCTCCGCGCGTCAACCTGCAAGAGACGCGGCCTCAGCGGCAGCCCGACCCCGGGACACGTGGCCGCCGCGCAGGCCCAGGTGATCCTGCGAGGATCCTCTTCATTCATTCCCGGACGCACAGCCGGGCCGGGCGGGGCGGGGCGGGGCGGGGGGGGGAGCGGCCCCCGCGGGACTCGATCCCCAGAATCCGTGACCTTTTACCAGGAGAAAAGCTGGCAAGGCCGGTCCGCCCCTGAGCCTCCCGCTCTAGCGAGACGCCCCTCAGGAAGGGCCCAGGAAGGGAAGCGGTGGGGGGGCGGGGGGGGTGCTCACGGGGAAGGGGCGCCGGTGTGCGTGTGCGGGAGCGAACTACGGGCCTCAGGTGGGGGGCAGAAGGGTGGAGGAGGCCGCCCTGGGGGGAGGCCCTGGGGGGAGGCCGTGAGGGGAGGCCCTGGGGGGAGGCCGTGAGGGGGAGGCCGTGAGGGGGAGGCCGTGAGGGGGGCCGTGACGGGGAGGCCATGAGGGGGGAAGCCCTGGGGGGAGGCCGTGAGGGGGGAGGCCGTGGGGGGGGAGGCCGTGAGGGGGGAGGCCGTGGGGGGGGAGGCCATGAGGGGGGCCGTGAGGGGAGGCCGTGAGGGGGGCCGTGAGGGGGGCCGTGAGGGGGGCCGTGAGGGGAGGCCGTGAGGAGGAGGCCGTAAGGGGGAGGCCGTGAGGAGGAGGCCGTAAGGGGGAGGCCGTGAGGAGGGCCGTGAGGGGGAGGCCATGAGGGGGGAGGCCCTGGGGGGCTGTGAGGGGAGGCCCTGGGGGGAGGCCGTGAGGGGGAGGCCGTGAGGGGGAGGCCGTGAGGGGGAGGCCGTGAGGGGGGAAGCCCTGGGGGGCCGTAGGGTGGGCCGTGAGGGGGAGGCCCTGGGGGGAGGCCGTGGGGGGGGGAAGCCGTGAGGGGGGAGGTCCTGGGGGGAGGCTGTGGGGGGAGGTCCTGGGGGAGGCTGTGGGGGGAGGTCCTGGGGGGAGGCGGTGAGGGGGGAGGCCGTGGGGTGCAACCAGGGGCGTGATCCTGGAGACCCAGAGCCTGCTTCTCCCTCTGCCTGTGTCTCTGCCTCACTGTCTCTCTGCATCTCTATGAATAAGTAAATCCGATCTTTAAAAAAAAAAAAAAAGTAAAGATGTTCAGTCTAAAGGGACTCAGCACGACGTCCTCACTCCACATTCTAAACTCAGGCCTTTATTTCCCCTTTAGTGGGATCAGGTCTGAGGAGCCTGGCAAACAAATCCCAATTGCTTGGGAATCTGCAAGTCCTGCTCCCGGGACGGAGCCAAACCGTCGTCCCTCTGCGGCCGCCCTGGGGTTGCCACAGCCCCACGGCCACGGCCACGGCCACGGCCACGTGAATCCGGGAATCCCTGGGGCACAGCTTGCCGCAGTGGCTCTAAGTGCTGACTAGCTCTTCTCCGGAAGCGCTCGCTCTGATTCTGGGCACAGCGTCAACAGGGCTGGCTCCCCCAGGGAAGGAGCGTTCCGGAACCGCAGGTGACCCGCCTAACCCCCCCTAACCCCTCCGATGCCGGACCCACGCCCCAGGGCACAGCAACCCCCACGGGAGACGCGGTGGGTTGGAAGCCGCGGCTGTGCACATGGGGAGGCCGCGCTTCTCCCCGGGGCTCCCACAGCCCGGCAGGGACACCGCCAGGCCCGGGACCAGCTTCCTGGGCAGCTGCTCCAAGGTCCCCGACCCGGGCCCACGGGGTGCCGGGTCAGCCGGAGATCTCGGGGCTGTCCGGCTGCGCCCCGGACCACGCAGAACCGCGCTTCCCACAGCGGCCTGTGGCCGCGGCACCTCAGCCTCTGCTCTTTTTTAAGATTTTATTTATTCCTGGGGGACCCAGAGAGGGACAGAGACCCAGGCGGGGGCAGCAGCAGGCGCGATGCGGCCTCGATCCCGGGACCCGGGGCCACGGCCTGGGCCGAGGCGGACCCGCAGCCCCGCAGCCCCGCACCCCGCACCCCTCTGCTCAGCGTCTAAGGGCCTTCCTCCGGGACGTCAGTCCCTGACCCAGCGGCCGCGGGCCACGTTTCCAGGGACGCCGAGTGCAGCTGCGGGGGTCAGGACGTCGGCCACCGCCTCTGACCACACGGGCACCCAGAAGCCAAGACGGGAGGCCGGTGGGAGCCCTGCGGAGCAGAGCCCCGGGAACTGGCCGCGGCACGAGCCCTGCAGGGAGCCGGAAGGCCTCCCCGAGGCCAGCCAGGGCGGGCCGGGGCGGGCGGGCGGAGGCCCGGTGCAGACTGAGCTCCCGGTGGGCCCCGCGGCTGCAGCGCACTGGGGCCTGCCGGGCCACCCCCAGAGCCCCCCGCACGCCCGGTTGGGGCCTGCGGTCCGGATCCCCCTGGGCCAGGGGACTCCTCTGCAGCAGCCCGGGGACGGCGCCGGAGCCTGCGCCCAGGGCTGAGCCAGCAGGGGCGGGAGCGGCCGGCGGCTGAGTGGGAGCCGAGGACATGGCCCTCGAGGCCCGCGGCCTGCCTGGGCTCAGCGGCAGAGCGGGACTGGACGTGCGGGGGCCACAGGGTCCCCGGCACCCAGATCAGGGCCCGGCTGGCGCAGGCCCACCCTGTGCGGGGGAGCAGCTCGACCCCGGGGCACCGCGGCCACACCTGCAGGCAGCAGCGCACGCACGCGGACTCCTGGGGCGTCCACGCCTGCCCCGTCACTGCCCCGTGGCTGCTCTGCCACGGAAAGACGTTACACTGGGGGCGGCGGTGTCCCAGTGGCTGGGGGCGGCCGCTTCCAGCCCAGGTCAGGGTCGCGGGTCGCAGCCACATCAGGGTTGGTGGGGGGGGTGGGCTTGAGGAGGGAGCCCCCGTCCCCCCCACTCATGCACACTTTCTAAAATAAATGAGTAAATAAAGGCTTTATAAAGTATAAAAGTACACTTTAAGGAAGAAGTTAGAGCCGCCCGCTGTGAGGCCGCCCTCCGGGACACGGGCTGCGTGACTCCTGTAGTTGGGCCCAGGAGCTGGAGCAGCGGACGGAGGGGAGGGGCAGGACGGAGGGACAGGACCTGTGGGTCTCGCCCGGGGCGCCTAACAGCCCTGACGCTGCTGGGACTTGGGGGGAAGGATCCCCAGGAAGCCCCACACCCCGGAGGCAGTGCCCCCACCTGGAGCTCCCCCACCTGGAGCTCAGGAGAGGAAACCACCTCTGGGGAAATGCAGGCCAGCTCGGCCTCTCCTAGGCTGGGGCCCCTGTGGCCTTGGTGGGGAGCAGCGGGTGGGGGGACTGCAACAGGCAGGGGGGGAGGGAATCCCATGGGGGGGGAGAGAGTCCCACAAGGGGGGAGCTGGGGGGGCAGCCGGGAGTAGGGGGAGCAGGGGGTAGGGGCAGCCGGGGAGAGCTGGGGGGAGTGGGGTGGGGGGGGTGCTTGGGGGGAGCTGGGGAGGGCAAGAGCGGGAGGGGGAATCCAGGGGAGCCGGGTAAAGCCAGGGTGGGGAGCCAGGGGCGGCCGGAGGTGGGGGAGCAGGGTGGGGGGGAGGGGGGGAGGGGAGGGGGGCGGGGGGGGGGAAGGGGGTGGCGAGGCAGCAGGGAGAGCTGGGGGCGGCTCCACGCGGCAGGCGTCTGTGGCAGGGTGTGGCTGGGGACAGGCCATCAGATTTCCCTACAGGCCAGGCCAGCGGCTGCCTGCGCAGGTGGGAGAGCCCCTTAGGGGCGGTCCGGTGGGGCCGGGCCAGGGGCGGGAGGACCCGGGATGCGGCGGCCGAGCCTCCTTGGGCTCCGTGCGGGGCAGATCGTCCACGGGACGAAGGACGGTGACCGCCAGACGGGCCGGGCCGTGGGGTCCCAGGAGACCCTGCTGGGGGACAGCAGAGCGCAGAGCACGGCAAAGCCCACGCGGCTAGGGGTCCCCACCCGAGAGGAAAGGGCCGCAGCATGACCCCGGGCTCCCCTCTACCTCCGCGGGAGGCCGGATGCCCACGGCCCTGCCAGCCCTGGATGTCGCTGACCCAGTGTTGGTTCTGCTGCTTCCGGGGCCCTTGCGGGGGGGGGGGTCCCCTGGGGAGTGGCACGAGCAACTGGCAGGCATGCTGCCAAGGGGGGCACCCGGCCGCAGGGCACCCACCACCAGCGAGCTGCCATCACACGTCGCCCTGCTAGGAGGCCTCCTTGGCCACGCGTTTATCACCAGGTGCTCAGAAGCAGTCCTACTTCCCAGCTCTTCTGGGCGCAGCTGGCGTGGGTGATGGGCCAGGCGCCAGGACGGCCGAGGCCTGACTTTGCCATCGGGGCCAGGTGGCCCTTTCCCAACCCACGCCAGACCTGCAGCCAGAGCCTGCAGACCAGGTGGGTGCTGTGGGGGAGGGCGGGAGGGGGCCCGGGTTGCACCTGTGGGGGAGGGTGGGTGGGGACCCTGGGTGCACCTGTGGGGGAGGGTGGGTGGGGACCCTGGGTGCACCTGTGGGGGAGGGTGGGTGGAGACCCCAGGTGCACCTGTAGGGGAGGGTGTGCGGAGACTCCAGGGTGCACCTGTGGGGGAGGGTGGGTGGGGACCCCAGGTGCACCTGTGGGGGAGGGGACCCCGGGGGAACCTGTGGGGGGCAGGGGGGAGGGAGAGGACCCCCGGTGCACCTGTGCCTTCTCAGCACAAGCAAGGCCTGTGAGGGTGGGAGGGCGTGTATCTGTGCCCGTGCTGTGGGGACGTTATGCTTCCTCCCCAAGGCCCGGGGAAGGCCCCAGAAACACCAGGTTCCTCCTGCAAATCACCCCTGTTTTGTGACGCGGTAACAGCAGCGAGGAGGCTTCCTCCAGCGAACTAAGGATTGGGAAGCCACAGGGAAGGTTCCCGTAGTAAAGCGCTGTCCTGAGTGCCCAGAGCGTGGGCCCCGGCGCTGGCCTGAGGCCAGAAGCCCGGGTTTTGCTCGCAGACTCGCTCGCGCCCGCTACCCCGACCACCTAATTGCCAACCACCCGTCACAGGTGCTCTGAAGAGTGGGAGCAGAAGCAGCCGATCTCGCTCCGGACTCCAAGTGCTCTCCGAAATCACAGATGATCCCCGCTGGAGGAGCTGCCGGGGGTGACGACGAAATGGCCTTGTCCGTCCACCCCACTACACTCACAGGACGCCAGTGTAAGCACTCGGGGTGTGGGCAAAACCTCCGTGTCCCGAACACACGAGCAAGGAAGTGCGGGGGCGATCCCGTGGGTGACCAAGCCGCAGGGCGACCGGTGGGCGACCCAGGGCCGTGGGTGCCAGCCTGCCCGGCGGGCCACGACCCTGTGCCACGGGCCACCCCTGCTTGTGGGGGAGCCGGAGAAGGGGTGGCACCAGGGGCCAGGGCACCTCGAGCTCTCCCTGCACCTAGCGAGCCACCCAGAGCTCACGGGCCTCCTGGCCTAGCTCCTAGATTTCTTCTGGAAAGTCGGCCCCACTTCCTACCGCGGCGCCGCTGGACTTCACCACAAGACGGCGACAGCGTTCCCGAGGTGAGACGGTCCTGTGGGACCGAGGACCCGCGTGGATCGGGTCAGGAAGCCTTGCGGCTCCACCCGGGGCCCGGGGTCCGGAGTCCTGGGGCTGCAGCCCAGGCCAGAGCCGTGCTCCTCCCGCCGCCGCGCTCATAACCGCGGACCCCAGAGCGTCTCCCGAGCAGCCCACTCCCACTCACGTCCATACCACGCTCCACACGGCTTGTTAGAAACCAAGCAGCTCCCCGCAAGGCCCCCCCCAAGCTGCGGAATGGGCTTCCTCGGGCCACTCACTCCGCCTGGCCTGGTCTGTGAGGGGGGGGGGTGAGGATGGGGGTGTGAGGGGGCTCCCCGCGGCTGCACCTGACCCCGGGCACAGGCACCGCTCACCCTGGAGTCGTGGCACGTGGCACGGGACCCTGGGTACAGCCGAGCCCTCCCCCTGGAAATGCGTGGGTTTAGCCAAGACCTGGACCCACTTGGGGGAGGTGCCACCTTCCACCTCTGTCACAACCGTCACAACCGGGCCTGTGCTTGTCCGGGAAGTGGAAACTCCTGCAGCTACTGGGCCTAAGGCTCCGCAGGGCTGCGTCTGTGCCCCTGGCCCAGGTGCCCCTGCCCACAGGCCTCGCGACCAATCTCAACGGGGCTTCCGCCCGACCCACCCCAAGGAGGACCAGGGCCGGTGTCGCACAGAGCGGATGCTCAGGATCGCCCTCAGCGGAGCAGCAACTCCCGTCGCGGATTTCCCGACCGCTCCCTCCCCCATCTCCTAGACTCTTAACGACAGACACGTGGCGCCGGGCAGGGCGCGATCATCTCGGTTCCAAATGAGGAAACCGGCAGAGAAGACGGGGCCTTCCTTCCCCAGGCCCCGGGGCTCACGGAGGCAGAGCAGGGGTGCAGTCTGAGCTCCTACAACCCCCCCCCCTTACTCCAGCCGCCCCTGTGGGCCCTGTGCCACCCTGAGGACCCCGTCGGGTCACGGCCACAAGACACCCCCGTCCCAGCCTGCCTTGGTCACCCGTAAAAGTGGGCCCCGTTCAGGGGGATGTTTGAGGATGGCACAGGCCTGGGGAAAAACTCTCTGAATTCCTGGGAAACCCTGAAACCACTTTACTCCCCAGAGAGTCGGGGCCCCGAAAGTCACCGAGCTCTCTCCTGGCTCCCCGGTTGGAAGCACTCACACCCCTTCAGAAACAGGTAAACCTTTCCCGGAGTCAACGCCTGCTTCCCTGCTATTCGCCCTCCCCAGGCATAGGGGCCTCTAATTCGTGGATTTACTGCCCCCCCCCCCGTTCTGCTCACAAGAAGAACGCCCCGCCCTTAAAATTCAGGAACGCTGTACGGGGACACGGGGAGGACGCTCGCTCAGCCCTTCTGGAAGGGGAGGGGAACTTCAACAGAACTCACGTGGTTCTGGGAGCTTATTTGGTGAAAGATGCCAACTACTGAGCTTCCTCCCAAGGAGATGACTAAAGGCACCGAAAAGCAAAGTGCTGGTGGGTTTCTCATGGTCTTGGAAGGAAGAAAAGAGTCCCCGGGAAGTGAGGGCCGGGCGTCCCGCGGCGAGGCTCACTCCGGGCGCAAACCCCGGGCGCGGTGCGCTCCCCGCCGGCCCCGCCCCCACCGCGCCCCAGCTCCCCCCCTGCACCCCGAGGCCTCCGCGCCCCAGCTCCCCCCGCACCCGAGGCCTCCGCGCCCAGCTCAGCTCCCCCCCTGCACCACGAGGCCCCCGCGCCCCAGCTCCCCCCTGCACCCCGAGGCCCCCGCGCCCCAGCTCAGCTCCCCCCCTGCACCACGAGGCCCCCGCGCCCCAGCTCCCCCCTGCACCCGAGGCCTCCGCGCCCCAGCTCCCCCCGTACCCGAGGTCTCCGCACCCCAGCTCAGCTCCCCCCCCGCACCCCGAGGCCCCCGCGCCCCAGCTCAGCTCCCCCCCTGCACCCCGAGGCCCCCGCGCCCCAGCTCAGCTCCCCCCCTGCACCCCGAGGCCCCCGCGCCCCAGCTCCCCCCTGCACCCCGAGGCCCCCGCGCCCCAGCTCCCCCCTGCACCCCGAGGCCCCCCACGGCCCCGCGCACGTCGGCGGGGGCCCGGCACCGGGTCGGGGGGTCCGCCCGCGGAGGGCACTCACCGCGGCGCGGCCCCGCAGCACGGCCGCCAGCACCCGCAGCCCGCTGGGCGAGCCCGCGCGGAAGTTGAGGAAGTGCAGGGCCGCGCGCGCCGCCTGCCGCAGCAGCCCGGGCGGGGGGACCCCGGCGACCCCGGGGACCCCCGGCGACCCTGGCCCCGGCCCCGCCGCCTGCAGCCCGGGCCCCGCCAGACTCAGCGCCAGCGCCAGCAGCAGGGCGGCGGGCCGCGGGGCCCCGGGGCGGGGCGCGGGCGGCGTGGACGCGGCGGGCGGCATGGACGCGGCGCTCCACGGACCCGGCTCCCTCCCCGCCGTCTGCGCGGGCGCTCGCGGAAATAAGGCGGCGGCGGGCCCGCCCCTGCCCGCCACCCCCGGTCCCCCCCCACCGCCCCTCCCTGCCCTACCCCCTGTCCCCGGGTCCCCCCCCCCGCTGCCCTGCCCACCCCTGCCCTCCCCTCCTCCATGCCCCCGCCCCCCTCCCCTCCGCCCCCGGGTCCCCCCCCCCCCCCCCCCCCCCCCCCCCCCGCCTTCCCGCTGACCGGGGACCCGCCCCCTGAATCCTGCCCAGCACTGCACTGGGCACTTACTGCTGAAGACGACTGGAACAGGATTTGGGGATGTGGGGATGGTGTGGGGATGTGGGGAGGATGTGGGGATGGGGTGGGGATGTGGGGAGGATGTGGGGATGGGGTGGGGATGGTGTGAGGATTCCACTAGAGCAGGTGAGAAGTGCCCGCGAGGCTGCTGGGGCAGGAAGGGAGACGAAGGCCAACCCATGGACCTGCCGTGCCCTCAGCTGCCCCTCCTGGAGCAGCCCGTCCTGGTCCCCGCAGATCCCACAACTCGGGGCTGAGCCAGCGCTGAAGGGAACCCCTCCACGGGGACCCCGCCCTCCACGGGGACCCCGCCCTCCACGGGGTGGACCAGCAGGGTCCCCCAGGCTGGACAAGTGTCAGCCAGCGTCTGGCCTTCTCTAGAAGAGCGGGGTCGGGAGGAGGGGAGACCCTGCGGAGAAGGAGGCCCTTAGGGACCCACAGGGGCGATGGAACCACTGCGGGGACAGAATGTTCTGCAAAGGCCTGAGCTCTCACTATTGGTGCCTCGGTTTACCTCTCTGGCCGGAGCTGAGGGCGGAACCCAGGGGATCCCAGTCCGGTGCCGAGGCCGCGGCCTACCAGGTCCCCTTCCAGAGCAAGGCCCCACTTTCGGCCGCCAGTGAGGAACCCGTCTCTGTAGACCGGGTGTGCATGCTCTGATGAGCCCAGGCACACGCACCTGTTCCCAGGACCCACGGCGCGGGGGCGGGGCGGCCCGGAGCCCAGGCACGCGCACCTGTTCCCAGGACCCACGGCGCGGGGGCGGGGCGGCCCGGAGCCCAGGCACGCGCACCTGTTCCCAGGACCCACGGCGCGGGGCGGGGGGGCCCGGAGCCCAGGCACGCGCACCTGTTCCCAGGACCCACGGCGCGGGGGGAGGGACCCGGAGCCCAGGCACGCGCACCTGTTCCCAGGACCCACGGCGGGGGGGCGGGGGCCGGAGCCCAGGCACGCGCACCTGTTCCCAGGACCCACGGCGCGGGGGAGGGACCCGGAGCCCAGGCACGCGTACCTGTTCCCAGGACCCACGGCGCGGGGGGCGGGGCGGCCCGGAGCCCAGGCACGCGCACCTGTTCCCAGGACCCACGGCGCGGGGGGGGGGGCGGCCCAGAGCCCAGGCACGCGCACCTGTTCCCAGGACCCACGGCGCGGGGGCGGGGCGGCCCGGAGCCCAGGCACGCGCACCTGTTCCCAGGACCCACGGCGCGGGGGGGGGGGGCGGCCCAGAGCCCAGGCACGCGCACCTGTTCCCAGGACCCACGGCGCGGGGGGGGGGGCGGCCCGGAGCCCAGGCACGCGCACCTGTTCCCAGGACCCACGGCGGGGGGGCGGGGGCCGGAGCCCAGGCACGCGCACCTGTTCCCAGGACCCACGGCGCGGGGGGGGGGGGCGGCCCAGAGCCCAGGCACGCGCACCTGTTCCCAGGACCCACTGCGCGGGGGGGGGGGCGGCCCAGAGCCCAGGCACGCGCACCTGTTCCCAGGACCCACGGCGCGGGGGCGGGGCGGCCCGGAGCCCAGGCACGCGCACCTGTTCCCAGGACCCACGGCGCGGGGGCGGGGCGGCCCGGAGCCCAGGCACGCGCACCTGTTCCCAGGACCCACGGCGGGGGGGCGGGGGCCGGAGCCCAGGCACGCGCACCTGTTCCCAGGACCCACGGCGCGGGGCGGGGGGGCCCGGAGCCCAGGCACGCGCACCTGTTCGCACCCAGCCCCGCACTAGCAGGCACAGCGGTAGGAGCCCGACCCCCGGAGTAGCAGAAGCGGGTCAGGCTGCGGGCTAGGCGGGGCCTCCCCGGATCCTACAGGCCCGCGGTGGGGGCGGGCGCCCAGGGCTCGGGCCTGAGAGGTGGCAGGAAGGACGTGCGCCCCGCTGGGCAGCCTCCCGCCCGGCCTCTCCCTGTGAGCCGCGGGGTCTGGGGCGCGACGTGACCACAGCGGAGCGGCCCGGGGGCGGGGTGGGGGCTGCCCGTCCTGCGCCCTCCCAGCGCCTCCTGGGTGTCCCGGCGCCGGGCCCGGGGGCAGGAGGCCCCACAAGCAGCATACATGGCCTCAGTACCTGACATTTTATCTTAGTATTGTTATTTTTTATTCCAGGACTTCTTTTTTATTTTATTTTTTTTAATTTTTTTTTAGGATTTTTTTTGATTTTTTTGTTTTATTTATTTATGATAGGCACACAGTGAGAGAGAGAGAGAGGCAGAGACACAGGCAGAGGGAGAAGCAGGCTCCATGCACCGGGAGCCCGACGTGGGATTCGATCCCGGGTCTCCAGGATCGCGCCCTGGGCCAAAGGCAGGCGCTAAACCGCTGCACCACCCAGGGATCCCCCAGGACTTGTTTTTTAAATCTAACTTGCATTTTTAAAATTTATTTGGGGTTTAAAAAAATCCAAACCAAGAAAAGGTTCATGGTTTCATTCTTCTGCCCATTATCTGCATTAAGTGAGGCCATGAACACCTGGGGCTGGACAAACGCGGTGGGGCTGGTGTTTTTGGTCGGGAGTGAAGCGATGCAGCAGCGGGGACAGGCCCGACGGCTCTGGAGCGTCAGGGCCACTTCGGGCCCCTTGGGTCTGGCTGGGGGGCCCGGATCCTTTCCTCCTTGGGGGCCCCGCTCTGGGCTGTGGCTGCGGGGCCGGGGCGGCCGGTGTGCGCTTGGGTGGCTGGAGCTCCCATGGCGGGTGGTGGCCGGAGCAGGTCCGTGACCTCGCCCAAGTGGTAGGGCAGGCAGGTGCGGTGACCTCACGGTGCCCAGCCGTGGCGGGCGGGAGCATCTGGGGCAGCACCCACGCCGACCGCCGCAGTGATTACCAGGCAGGGCCCCACTGAGTCACAAGCCCTTTTCTGTGCCAGTGAGTCTGCGAGGGCGGCCACGACAAAGTGCCCCATGCCCACGGCTCAGAGGGCGGGAGGCAGTTCTCAGGGTCCCGAAGCTACGAGGCGGTGATGGAGGTATGGGCAGGGTCGGTATCGTCTGGGCCACCTCCTCTGTGTCTTCACGCGGCCCCCGCTCGCTCTGTCGTCTGTGTGCCCTAATCACCTCTTTTTCAAGGGACCCCAGTCCTGCTGGGCGAGGGCCCACCCTAAGGACTTCATTTTACCTCTTTCAAGGTCCCATCTCCAAGTACAGTCAGAAGCACGAGGGGCCAGGGCTTCGACATGCACTTGGGGGGCAGGATTCCAGCCGCAGGGGACACGGTGCTCTCCCCGGAGCCCATCCCTCTGGATAAGGCTATAGGACGGTGGGTGGACCGAGACTTTTCGGCAGATTTTATCCCTATACCCGGTGCCAGAACTCTAATGGGATCAAATTTTTTTTTTTAATTTTTATTTATTTATGATAGTCACACAGAGAGAGAGAGAGAGCGCCAGAGACACAGGCAGAGGGAGAAGCAGGCTCCATGCACCAGGAGCCTGACGTGGGATTCGATCCTGGGTCTCCAGGATCGTGCCCTGGGCCAAAGGCAGGCGCTAAACCACTGTGCCACCCAGGGATCCCCAAATTTCGTAAATGAATCATTTCTTACTACAACATTCAAGACAGAAAATAATAATAATAATAATAATAATAAATTAAGAAACACCCGTTCCATTACAGGCCCGTGGAGCATTTCCCTGCCTCAGCTCGACCCTAAGCTCTCGGAAGTTGTGACACAGCTCAGGGGCCTGATTTAGCTCTCGCCTGCTTCTCAGGAGCCCCTCATGAAATGTGTTAGAAACCCGCAGCCTGGAGGCTCCTGTTAGATGCACCCCAGTGCCTAGACTAAGGGTCCTCAAGGCCGCATACGCCCAGAACCCCAGGAGCAGCCCCGGGCCGGGATCACACCGTCTGCCCTGGGCCGGGCGCCCGCGTGGGGACAGCAGAGGCCCCGCGGCCCCTCCGGCGCGGGCACACAGCCAGCGGGGGGTCGGGCCACAGGCGCCCACCCGGGCAGCCCCCTGGCCCGCTCCTGTGTAAGCGGGCACCGCCGATGTCACCCAGGCCACGGGGCGGCTTCCTCTGGGCCCCGTGCTTCAGTCACTCTGCTTTTGGTTTCAGGACGGCGGGTCCTAGTAGAACATTCCTCCCGATGTTGAATAGCTGAGGGAAGGGGGGGCCCATCGCACCCTCCTTCCGTGCCAGCTGTGCCGCTCCTCCTAAAGGCTGGTGTGCGGGCCCGGGGTGCGCCGAGAGCACCTTGGCTTTGGGAGTCATGGGTCCTGCGCTGGTGCAGCACTGCAGCCGGCGTGCCCCCAAGTCCCGGTGCCCTCCTGCTGGGCCGCACCCTCGGGCCGTGTCCTTAGGCCGGTGGTCGTGTAGTTTCCCAAGGGGAAGGGAGGTGGCACGGTGATGAGTAAGTGGCCCAGAGGATGGCTGCGGGGCACCCTGCCCTGTGCGGCCCAGTTCCCATCCTCCTCCCCCTCCTTGCTAACTGAACCCCAGTGCTGCTCGGGGTGGCAGTGTGTCCACGAAATACGGTGCCAGTGCCCGTGGTGGGGGTAGCGCCGGACGTGATGCGGCCAGGGACATCGAGGGATCTCTACACATGGCTCCTGGGAATGGCTTTTATTTATTTATTTTTCAAAGATTTTATTTATTTATTTGAGAGAAACAGTGAGAGAGCGAGAGAGCGCACAAGCTGGGGGGGAGGAAGAGAGGGGGAAGCTGCCTCCCCACGGAGCAGGGAGCCTGACGCGGGATCCTGAGCCCGAGCCCGAGGCAGGCGCCCAGTCCTGCCCGGGCTTTTAAGCCTGCACGTACCGTGTCCGACAACTCCCCGCAGCCCCACGTGAACCCGGGTGGTTGGTCACCTAACCTGTACTTTACTCCTTTTCCCAAATAACGCATTTCCCAAAATGCAGAGCAACGAGGGGTCTCCTTGCACCCGATCCCCCCCCCCAGGTGCTCCACTTTGCAGCGGCACCCTCAGCGTGCGGCACCCGGACTGAAGGATAAGCGGCGCGGAGCGAAGCGGACTTGCGCACCGCGGGCCTGTAAGTGGCACGTGATCGGAGAGGCGACAGGCTCTCCGTCATCGGATTCCCCACTCCCACCGTGGACTTGGCAGCTGGCTTCTGGACCTGAGGGCACTTTACTTTTTAGTTTATTCTAGTTTGACTCTGGCTTGGGCCCAGTCCTGGTCCTGTTCAGGTGCAGTGGATTATGAGCCCGTGGCCCACCTGACTGGCGGTCTCACCCCTACGTGTGGCTTCTAAACATTTGGTGGATGCATCCCCTACGCCCTCATCCAAATCGGTGATTAATATACTTAAGAGCCTTGAGGATCTGTCAATAATTCATGGCCTTCCTGTCCAGCCACTTAGGAACAGATCTCATCGAGTTTGGGCCCTCGGGGGTAACCCTACAGGCTTGGAGCACACGCTCCTGAAAAACTGGGATCCTTCAGGGGCTGAAGCCTCCTCCAGGAGGTGCAGGGTGTCATCGGGTCAGCTCCCCTGCGAACGAGCACAGGCGGCTGAGGCGTTGACCCTGTAATTACGTGGGCGCTACACTCCCAGCAAAGGCCTCCTCCTCGGTTGACTCCCTTTGCCGCTCTCAGGTCTCTGAGTCACCTCCTGTCACCGTCAGCAATTTACCAAACTCCGGGGAGAGCGACTGATTTGCTTAGTGTCTTAGTGACGGATTTTATTCCGTCACGAAGAAGCGGGTAGGATATTCGCTTAAGAAACCATAAGCTTTTAGCATTTTTGTTTTAACGTTTTACTCCTCCTCCTGTTACTGTGATCCCCACTAGGACGGAGCTACCGGCCACAGAGAAATGCCCGATCTCAAGCGTGCAGGTGTCTGGAGCGCGCCGTCCGCATCCCGAGCAGGGGCCGGATCCGGCCCTCACCCTACAGGCCCGTCCGGGTCCCTCACGTGCTCTAGGCTCGAACACTCCCACGGGTCCCAGGCCCGTGCACCCGTGCCGGAGGGGCTACCTATCCCATAGACGTAGAACGAGACAGACTGGCACGACCTTCGGAGAGCTCCGGCCTGGAGACTCCGCAGCCCCTCCCGGGGGGCCGCTGCTGCTGTGCTGCCTTCCCACGTCTCTTGTTCCACGCGTTTCTTTAACTAGCTCAGGCCGCCGGGCCCACTGAAGCATCTCTGCTGTGCTGGGACGCGTAGCCGTTTGGGAGGACGCAGAGAGTGGCCCGGAAGTGGCCACGGGGCCGGGCGCGACAGGTGCTCAGCCTGGGGCCTCGCTGGCCTCGCTGGCGCCACCGGCGTCCCGAGGAAGGCCCGTCGCGGGGGAGGCGCCGAGGGGCAGGGCTCTGGGGAACGTGCGCGGCCCAGCCTAGCCCCACAGTGCCTCTGGGGACCCGGGACATCCTCCTCGCCCGATGGCGGCTGGCGGGGCGGCGACCGAGGTTAGGGCCCCAGGGAGCCAGGCCGCCGACGCCAGTGCCCTGGGCGTGCGCTCCCCGGCGGGCCGTCTGTGCAGGGAGCAGTCGGGGTCACACGGGCTAAGCGACGTGCCCACGGGTTGGAAACGGTCTGCGGCAGCGTCCAGGCGGGCCCCCGACGGTGTGGCGGGCCGGGGCGGCCCACGGGCCCCCGGGGCAGGGCTGCTGGCCCCTTCGGCAGCGGCGGCCTGGCGGGCGCGCGGGGCCCCAGGTGCTCGGCTGCAAGCCTTCGCCTGCCTCCTCCGAGCGGGCTCTTCACTGCTGAACCCCACGGAAGCAAGGGGGCCCCGCTGCCCTGCTGACGTCGTCAGTCTCGTGCCTACAAGACTTCGCCTCTCGATCCCTGCGTTTTTTCCCACTTTACGTGCATGACTTCTGCTGTACGTGTGGTTTACGTGGTTCTTTCACGGTTTGTGCGTTGAAATCTTATTTAGGAAACTTCTGTTCCGCTTCAGTGTCACAAAAATGATCTCGTTTCTTCTAAAGATATCAAGGTGCTGCTTCCCACACTGACTCCTCATCACACGTAGGTTCGAAAGTGTGTGGAAGTGATCTCGTCTCAATCAACGCCGTTTCCCCAGGCTCACCTAGGGCCAGGCTGTAAGGCCGCCCGGTCACAGGCCAGTTCACGTGTGCGAGGACCTGCCTCCGGACGCGCTCCTTGCTCTGCTCGGCGGCCTGGCCCTACTCTGCACTCATCATTCCACTTCCTAACGTCACAGCAAGTCACATCGTCCAAAACCGCGAGTCTCCTTCTCCTAATTTTCCCTAGGTGTAATTTTCTGCTCCTCACTATTACTCTGAGGATGAACTTGACAAGTTCCGTGAAAAAAAGTCTGCTGGGGTTTTATTGAAACTGCACTGCGATCTTTAATTTGGAGAGAACGGGCTTGTTTGAGATGTTAACCCTCAGCGTGTGGGACTGCGGTGCACAGGCCGTGTGTTCAGGTTTCCCTTCACGGCGGTCATTAGAGTCCGAGCCTTCCCAAGGCCCGGCTCTACTTTTGTTAGATTTTTTCTTTCTGTAGTTGGGTGCCTGGTAGTTTTGTTTTGTATTAATACTGAAATCTCCTTTTCCACTACATTTGTATTAGTTGATTCTGGTCTGAATACTTTTGCTTCTTGTCCGTTGATTGTGTGTTCAGCAACCTGTTAAACTGTCACACTTGTTATAATGGTCTTAAAAAATTCTTGGAGGTACTGTGTGGTGGTTGGCAAGACTCTAACAGGCCGCCAGGATTTTTGCCTTCTGTGTACATACCCCATCTAATCCTCCCACCCCCGAGTGCGGGCAGGACCTGTGAATGTGCTAGACCGGTCACTCCCTTGATTGGTTCTTTTGCATGACAAAGGTGATGGGATAGTCACTCGGGTTGTCACGTTGTATCCTACAAGACCCAGCCTTAGCCAACAGAAGGGACGGATTCTCCTGGTGGCTTTGCGTAAGCATGCTGTCACAGCGGGCACCAAGTGGCCAGGGAATGTAGCCTCCGGAAGCTGAGAGCAGCCCTCAGAGGACCCCCATCAAGGAAACAGAAAGCTCAGTCCTACATCCACAAGGACTGAATCCCGCCAACCACCAAGTGAGCTGGGACGCGAACACTGTGATCCAGCGGAGAACAGGGCCGGGGCCCCACCTGGATTTCTTCCTCCTTAGACCCTGAGCAGAGAACAGAGTTTTGGCGGACAGAACTGGGACATAACAAATGTGTGCTGCTTGAAGCTGCTAAATTTGCAGCATCAACTTATTATCTAGGAACAGAAGGCAGATACATACATAAACGCTGTGTTGTCTACAATTAATGGCGAGGTTGTTTCTCCCTTTCCATTCCTTACATATTGTATTTATTTATTTTTAAAGATTTTATTTATTTATTCATGAAAGAGAGAGGCAGAGACGCAGGCTGAAGGAGAAGCAGGCTCCATGCCGGGAGCCCAACGTGGGACTTGATCCTTGGACCCTGGGGTCACGCCCTGGGCCGACGGCAGGCGCTCAACCACTGAGCCCCCCAGAGATCCCCCCTTACACATTTTATGTGCTTCTCTGTGCTGGCTGAAGCCTTGAGTGACACAAAAGTGATAATCTTGAAAATCCTTGAATTTTTCTTGATTGTGAGGAAATGCTTCTAATGGTTCATTCATTAGTATAATGTCTGCTGTAATTTTTTTGGAGGGCATCTTTTGTGGGATCATGAGTTTCCCTCCTACTCCTACTTTGCTAAAAGTTTGTTTTCTGATCAAGAATGGGCTTCAAAGATGTTAAATGAGTTTTTCTAGATCTATTGAAATAATTATATATTTTCTTTTTAAGTTATCTATTTTTTCTTTTTTAGGCTATCTCTTACATTGACAGATTTAAGGCCATTTAGATAATTAGGTCATTGTTTCATTCTGGGAATAAGCCTTACATGTGTTTTAAGTTTTAATACATTGCTGGATTTAGTTTGGTACGGTTTCATTTAAGTTTTTGTTACCTCTCTTCTTCTTCTTCTTCTTTTTTTTAAAGATTTAATTTATTTATTCATGAGACACACACAGAGAGGCAGAGACACAGGCAGAGGGAGAAGCAGGCTCCATGAGGGAGCCCGACATGGGACTCAATCCCGGGTCTCCAGGATCACGCCCTGGGCCAAAGGCAGGCGCCAAACTGCTGAGCCATCCAGGGATTCCCCTGTTACCTCTCTTCAAATCTTTGATAAAACAACTGTGAAACCACCAAAGACTTTTTTTTTTTTTTTCGTTTTTTAAGGAGAAGTTTTAGGTTCACTGCAAAATTGAGCAGAAAGAACAGAAAGCTCCCCTGTACCTCTGCCTCTCCCTGCAAACCCCCAGCCCCTCCCAAATGCCAACCTCCCCCACCAGAGTGGAACGTTCGCTGTAAGTCATGAACCTACACGGACACATCATTATCGCCCAGAGCCTGTAGTTTACGTTAGGATTTACTCTTGGTGTCATAGGTTTCCTTATGGGTTTTGATAGATGAATGATGACATGTATGCACCATTACAGAACAATAATAAGGGTTTCATTGCTCTGAAAACCCTCTGTCACCCGCCTGTCCATCCCTTCCTATCCCTAGCCCCCCGACAATCACTGATATTGTTACTGTCTCCATAGTTTTTTGCCTTTTTCAGAATGTCCTAGAGTTGGAATTGAACAGTGTGCAGCCATTTCAGATCGACTTCTTTCATGCCTTTTCACATCTTGGATGCACCAGTTTATGTATCCATTTGCCTACCAGGTTTTGATAATTGCTTCCAAGTTTTGTTAATGACAAATAAAGCTACTATAAACACCCCTGAACATATTTTTTGTGTGGCTAGAAGTCTTCAGCTCTTTTGGGTGAATACCAAGAAGCATGACTGCTAGATCCCATGAGCATGTTTACAGTTTTGTAAGTAACCACCAAAGTAACATCCGAAGTAGCTGTACCATTTTGAAGGGTTGTTGTTTTTAGGGATTGATTTGTTTTAAATTACTGATTCAATTTGTTTTTATTATTTATTTTTTAAAAAGATTTTACTTATTTATTAGAGACAGGGAGAGATAGCACGAGTGGGGAGAGAGGCCGAGGGAGAGGGAAAAGGAGGCTCCCCGCTGGGCAGGGAGCCTGACATGCAGCTTGATCCTATAGGACCCTGAGGTTGTGACCTGAGCCCATCATGACCTGAGCTACTCAGACATCCCACCCCTCAATTTGTTTATAAATGCATACAGGTCTTTTAAGGTTTTTTATTCTCCTTGAGTCAAGTTTGGTTTTGGCAATTTTTTTTAAATATTTTTATTTATTTATTCATGAGAGACAGAGAGAGAGAGAGAGAGAGAGAGAGAGAGAGAGGCAGAGACACAGGCAGAGGGAGAAGCAGGCTCCACACAGGGAGCCCGACATGGGACTCGATCCTGGGACTCCAGGATCACACCCTGGGATGAAGGCGGCGCTAAATCGCTGAGCCACCCAGGCTGCCCGGTTTTATCTATTTTTCTAGAAAATTTTCTATTACATGTTATTATTTAATGTCATATTTTCCATAGTATTATTTCATGAAATTAAAAAAGTTCCTATGCCAGCACTTATATTTAATGTTCATATTTTATGTTGCTCTATGCCTTTTCTCATTTATTATTGACCAGTTTGGGGAGAGTCTCATCCATTTTACAAGTCTTTGTAAAGCCTCAGCTTTTGATCTTATTGAACGCATTTAGTTATCTTTGTTTTTTAGGATCATTCATCTCTGCTCTTATATTCATTAGTTCTGTCCTACTTCATCATTATTTCAATAGTTTCTTGAACTGAATGCTTATATTTTAAGGTTTTGAATTTTTGTTCTTTTCTAATATATCTAATTTTTTCCTATAAAAGTTCTGCACTAGTTGCATTCCATATGGTATGTAAGATTTCTGGGGGCATCCATTTCTAAATGTTTTGTCATTTTTTAAATGCCTTATTCTTTAACTTACAAAATATTTAGAAAGTTGTATCTTATTTTCCAGACACTTTTTTTTAAGATTTTATTTATTTATTCATGATAGACACACAGAGAGAGAGAGAGAGAGAGAGAGAGAGAGAGAGAGAGAGAGAGAGGCAGAGACACAGGCAGAAGGAGAAGCAGACTCCATGCAGGGAGCCTGAGTTGGTTTACTTTTAATATTTGTTTTGGGTTTTTGACTATATTTTCTTGGAGTTAAGAACTTTATCTGCAGGTAGAGTTTTTGGTAGTTACCAAGATTCCTTTTGTTGGTCAATTGTCAATTTTTGTAAATGTTCAATTTTTATTAAGTGTTTCCGATGTGGCAGAAAAAGACATGTCCTTAATCTTGGGTACATGGTTATCTCAAATTTTCAAGGTGCTGATTCCTTTTTGGTATGCTTCTGGGGTAGTTTATCTTTTCTTAGATCACAGGACTTTGGGTTTCCAGGAAAGCTCTCAGCATAATCTTTTTGGATCAGGATTCCCATGCTCCCAGGACAATGTACACATGAATCCCATTCCTATGAGTGGAGTAGGCATGGGAGTTTGATTTCACATGAAATAACTTTTTTTTTTTTTTAATCCATAGCTGCAGTCAGATGATAAATTCCCTGGACACCCACACTGTTTCAGAAGAAACATATATTTAATGTATAGTTTTTCGAGCATTATTTTCATGGAGGGGGTTCATAGAGGGTTCCAAAATTTATGTCACATTTATTAGAAATCTGAGAGGCGAACCTCTAAATAAACACTTGGTTGGAGGATATAGATCTGCCAATTATAAGATGTATAAGCTTAGGTTATAAATCTTATACTTAATACTAATAACAACACAAGTTTAGGTTTTCACTGTAGTGTTTAACCTAATGCCTATTTGCAATACTGCTTTTAAGATTAACAGAAAGACTTCAATTATTCATAATATTTAAAAATTATGTTTAAAAAATGCTATCCAATTGGCTGCAGTTACTAATCAGGTTACTCTGAACAAGGTTAGCTAACTTATTCTGTACTTGAGAAATTAGGAAATTTGAAAGGAAATTATTTATTTTCAATTTGTGCCACTGTTTACATAAACTGAGATCAGCTTTGATTAAGGCCAATTGGCTATGGTCAAAACTCGCCACAGTGAAGGGATAGAAGGAACATACGTCAACATCATGAAAGCCATCCACGAAAGGGCCACATACCATTCTCAACGGGAAAAACTGAGAGCTTTTCCTTTAAGGTCAGGAACAAGACAGGGATGTCCACTCTCACCACAGTTGTTCAACATAGTACTGGAAGTCCTAGCCTCAGCAATCAGACGACAAAAAGAAATAAAAATAGCATTCAAATTGGCAAAGAAGAAGTCAAACTCTCACTCTTTGCAGATGACATGATGCTTTATGTGGAAAACCCAGAAGACTCCAACCCAAAATTGCTAGAACCCATACAGGAATTTAGCAATGTGTCAGGATACAAAATCAATGCACGGAACTGGTTGCATTCTGTACACTAACAATGAGACTGAAGAAAGAGAAATCAGGAATCTATCCCATTTACAATTGCACCCCAAACTATAACATACCTAGGAATAAACCTAACCTACACTCTACCTAGATCTGTACTCTAAAAACTACAGAACACTTCTGAAATAAATTGAGGAAGACATGAAAAAACATTCCATACTCCTGGATTGGAAGAATATTGTTAAAATATCTATGCTTCCTAGAGAAATCTACACACTCAGTGCAATCTCTATCAAAATACCACCGACATTTTTCACAGAGTTGGAACAAATAGTCCTAAAATGTGTAAGGAACCAGAAAAGACCTGAATAGCTAAAGTAATGTTGAAAAAGAAAACCAAAGTTGGAGGCATCGTAATTCCAGACTTCAAGCTCTATTACAAAGCTGATCATCAGGACAGTGTGGTACTGGCACAAAAACATGCACATAGATCGATGGAACATAATAGAGAACCCAGAAATGGGCCCTCAACCCTAAAAACCCTTTGTCATCTTCAACAAAGCAGGAAAAACGATCCATTGGAAAAAAGACAGTCTCTTTAATAAATGGTGCTGGGAACATTGGGCAGCCACGTGCAGAAGAACGAAACTGGACCATTCTCTTACACCAGACACCAAGATAAACTAAAAATGGATGAAAGGCCTCAATGTGAGACAGGAATCCATCAAAATCCTAGA